CCCCAAACCTGCAGAGACGACGCTGTTTGACTGACAGGTCAACCCTGGGAACAGCAGTGCAAAAACAAACCCTGCTAATGAGCGCCGTGTACCAAATACACAGCAGAGCTTAAATTTCAAAAACAAATCTCTGAATATTTGGTGGAGAAATAAGCAGCTGTGTTTGCACTTCTTTGCAAATACAATTGTGATTTGTTGTACTTTAAAGAGCTGAAATTTTGAAGTCATTCACTATATTTATTTGGTGAGGAAAAAATTGGACATTAGAAAGACGTATAAAAGAAAGTTAAGTAGATATTGTAGTTTTAGGATTTTTCATGTGAGAGTGAACCACGTTGTTCTGATGTGATCTTAAAATGAGATAACCTTAAAGCCATCCCTTTTCTTACAGGCTTTAAACTATGCTSCCATCTTTTTGACGATGAATCTGTGCCAATTCTCTTTTGTTTTCTGCGTGTAACAAGTACGTTTGTCCATATTTGAGAGTTATTCTTATTTTTTTTGGACCTGACTACATGTTTCCTTCTATCAATTACGAATTGTGTTTTACCACCTAAAGTGTTGCCTCTGTGTCTGTCTTAGTTTCTGTTTCCATAAAGCTTTAATATTAGCATTCGTGCTAACCATATGCTCCCTCTTTCTCCATTTTTGTTTGGCTCTAGATTACAGTAAGGTGTCCAGCTCCAGGTGTCCAGTTGTTCTTAGAGAAATTAGTTTATTTTTCCAGGTAACCCTTCCAAATAAACTGTACTTCTTCATTTTTTCTTTCTTTTTTCTTTCTTGTTCTGTCATAAACTTTATTCTTTACCCTGCTCTTTGAGGCCTGTAGAGTCTGATATGGAGCTCTTGATTTTTTTTAATTTTATTTTATTTTATTGCGATTTTTCTGAGAATTGCACAGTTTGACTTTAGGGTGAACTTTTAAAAATCTTGGATTAGAACAGGGTTGTATTTTATTTTATTGTATTGTGATTGTACATGCTGAGTGCAAAAAGTTTCGAAGTCTTTTAAACTAATAGCAGTATGTGGCCCTAAATAATATATATTTTAAAAGTATTAGATCCTTTTGATCCTTACAACTTTTTCTGGTTTTGATTCTGAATATCTCCTAAATCCGAGCAGCTTTTTCTTGCTCGGCTGTGCCTTTAGTGTCATCATCCCCCAATTAAAGTCACCGCAATTAAGTTTCATTAGTCTTTTTATTTCTCAATGACTTCCTCTCTGATACCTAGCTGTGAAGCACATTGAAACATTCGGTGGTAATAAAAAAAAAGGTGAACGTAAATGTTATGAGTGTGTTGCATAAATGTATGGCAACCTGGAAACAGGAGTTTTGGTGTGTAGAAGTTTAGTCGTGTCCCATTTATATGTCTGTGTGTGAGGTGTGTAAACCTTTGAGTGCAAGCAGAGTGTGTTTGATGTTCCATTTTCCCTTTTTCATAATTCATGGTGCTGAGAAAATGGACTGAAGCGGAGATGGCTGCAGTGGGTGTGTGTGTGTGTTGCCGGATAACAGGACAATCGTTCCGCGGTTTTGCGGAGATGAAACAGACAAGAGTGTGTCTTTGAAATGCAAAGAGCAACGGTAGCCGTGATTGGCCACTGTGTTGAGGAGGAGCTAGGAGTTTTTTCGCTGCATTTCATCATAATGCTCACTTGCTCTCGCCACCCCTCCCTCCTTCCCTCACTCCTTCCCAAACTCGACACTCACACACAGACACGCATTCAGACTCATTTATTATTTTATTTACCTCTGCGGCTAATTCGGCGCAGCTCYGGGCTCTGGGGGGGTTGGATGTGCGTGTGTGTCTTTTGGTAATGCTTCCTCTYACAGGCACACACTCATTTCTCGTACTGGGGCCTGGGGATCAATTTATTTACATGCAGTGGAAGAGGAACAGAGGATTGAGAAAAGGATAAAAAAAGGGGAAGGAGTGAGAAAGAGGAAACAGCAGGGAATTATGGAGAAAACCCAGTGGAAAGAACAAGTTTCTTGACTTATCCCAAGGACGAACCAGACTAATTTACTGTTTAGAGCCCCCCCAGTGTGGGGGTGTGTATGTGAGTTTTTGTGTGTTTTGTTTGCCAATATCTTATCTGATTTCCAGAAACGCTACCTTCATCTACGCCCAACTGTTTTCCTTTTAGACGTAAAAAACCTAACCGAGCTGAAAGAGCATAACTTTCAGAGTTTGACTGAGAGGAACTGAATATTTCCAACAAAGTTTGGGCTGCATTTATTTGACCCCTTAAAACTTTATTTATGCCTTCAACATAACCAGCTGAAAATATCTAACACATACAATTTAAGTTTTGGTAAAATATAAAAATTTAAGCAAAATTGATATTCAGCTTAAAGATAATAATTTGCAAACTAAAAGTCTAAGAACTAATGTATGGTAAATTTTATTTTTTCACAAATGTGTCCAAAAAATACCTTAATCTTGGTTTAACTGAGGGCTAAAAGAAAAGGAAAAAAAGTCGTTTTTCTGACAAATTTTATGCCTTTTTGTCTTTTTAGGGTGAATATAGTTTCCTGTCTAATATTAAGCWATGCTGACAACATGTCTTTGGAATATAAGATACAACAGTGAATTTTTGGTTTTACAAAGGAAAAATGGCAACTTGTCATAAATCCTAACCAGAATTGCTTCATACACAAACATTTCATGGATTTATATTCTGCTTGTCTGGTTAGCTCTTTGATCCCTGGTTCTGGTTCTGTTCAAGTGTTCTTTCCAGTCTTGTCTAAATATATGTCAGTTTTAAATTTATGAAGACATTTTCGGAACTTTTACTTTTAGCCATGCTTTTCAGCTTTTAAACTTCAATCCTCTAAGTCTAGCATCATGCTATAAGCTATTATAAACCTGCTTAATACATCATGTTGGACGTATGTCACATGTTTTATGAAGCTACCATCTGAATTTGAGGTTAAACAGTTGGAATGTTAATTTCTCCATGTGGCATTCTTCTCTGCTTGGTCAAAAAATAGTCAGTTTGTCTGACTTGTACTTGTAAATATAATTTAGTTTGACCTTATTTTCTGTTTTGCATTGTTTGAATTAAGTAACAATGCAAGATTTACTATTGGATGGCAAGGTTAGTAAAGCCACCACCGTTGTATCTCTTTCCCAGTTTTTGGATATTTTCCACTTGGAACTTCTCAATGTTGTCCATTTTATAACTGTTTTAGATTATATCTGAAGCAAAAGCAGGAAAAAAGTTCTGAAAAGTTTGGCAACCTCACTTCTAAAAGTGTGTTGAATGAAACTAATATAACAGAATCTTTTTTTTGGACACATTTGGTTAGGGTTCCTTTAACACCGAAAATGAAATGTAATTTTTGGTGCCTAGTTGGAACTAGGGGTGTAAATCACCAGCTTTATCACGATACAATATTACATTGATATGTTTAGATGACGATTYRATATTTCTCAATATCACAAAGTCAATCATGATACGATTTCGATTCAATTCAATTCACGTCTGCGATCAATATAAAGCGATATTGTATGCCCAACACAATGACTGTGTTAGATGGGCATACAATATCGATTCACATCGCACAAATATCGACGATATAGATCGATATTTTCATTGTGCCTCGATAAAACTGAATCATGAACCATTCAAATCGAAATATCGATATAGATCGATGTATCGTTACACCCGTAGTTGGAACCAGATTCTCAGAACAACTTTGTATTTATTTGCAATATACCACTCTTAGAGATCTCTTGCACCACCACGACAAAACCACTGGATGTACTTAGAGTAAGAATAAGGTCTGTACTGATCTTTTGGTGAACACCACACATGCACTTACATAAGGGGCATTTTTGACTTGTGCTGTATTTTGCATTACTTAACTGTTGGTTATAAAATATTCTTCAGCTGTATTTCTGCTGGTCTTGTTGATATTCTGGTCATGGTTTTTATTGTTTTTGTTCTTTACATGTTGCACTAAAGTGGCCGTAAAACGTGTCTATTTCTGATATTCCCTCCAAGTCTTAAATGCAGATCTGGGTCTGTTATACTAAAAACAGGTTGATATAATTGGGACTGATGACCAGCTTTTACCATTGCATTAGAACATGTACTGATCACAATATAYTTCACAATTACATTTATAACACTTAAAGCTTTAAAGTTCAGGTTGTAAAGTGAACCATTCATGGCCCAAAGCAGGATTTGGAGTTAATTGCYACAGCTGTGTAGATTAGTAATATGCAAACCCTTTTAAAGGAGACAAATAATATTCATACACTATTGTATTGGCAAATGTTTAAACAAAGTGGTAAAAAATATCTTGTAAAGGTTAAAAGTTCATTTTTAGCAAGGATATATCAAACTGCAAACACTAATAAAACTTAGCGAGGAATGTTTATTAATCGCTTTATTTAATGTGGGGTTTTTTTTTTGCAAACAAAATTTGCAACGTTTCTTAATCTTTACTGGCTTTCAAACATAATTCTCTCTTCTTGTCTTGCAGGCAGGACGCCACTGACCTCTCTGGACCGATACAAAGGTAGGCGAAGTCATCTTGGCCTTTTGGCTTTCTTCTCCTCTTTACTGTCACTCCTTCTCCTCCCTTTGGCCTCGTTGGCAGCGAGGCTCATAGCCTCCAGGCTTCAGGCCAAAGATATCAACTCTGGTGTCGTTTTGGGGATTCTGGGTAGGAGTCGAGGGGGAGGTTGTTGAGGGAAGGGGAAGAGGGAAATTTGGAAGGGCAAGATGTGATGTGCTTCAGATCTATGACCACAGAGGGCCATTAAACCGAAGCCTTCAGCGATGGAACAAAAGAGGAGGAGGGAGAAACGAGGTTTAAATAAGGGCCAGTTTAAAAATAGCAGCACCTATTGCTCATCTGAGACAGAGTTAACAGGAAAAGGATGAGTACCCTCCCTGTAAACCATCAAGAAGATGGACRGGGGGCTGAAATAAGAAGGGATACTGTTTTATTGTTTGATTTGATAAAACCCACAGTAACATATTGCATAATTACATATTGTAACATGTCAGTGATGATTTTTCTCTAAAAAATAAATACAAACCGTAATTCATAGGCAGATGTAGCTGTTCGTACTGAAGGATAACCTACAGTTTATAGGGGACATATGCAAAATCCACAGGGTGGGTTGTGAAGCACCTCAGTTGGATTTAAAGAGACAGCCACAAAACGAGTTGATCTGAGACACACCTTAGAAAAGGGCTGATAGAGGGKCTTGTGGAGTTACAATATGTTAGAATTTAGGGGTGTACTGATTACAGTTTTCTGATCGATCACCGATTTTTAAAAAGCCTGACCTGCCGATTCCGATTTTCTTTTATACCTGACATGGTCAGGTGTTATAAGGTCACAATACACCTTCATTGTTCCAATCTTTCAATTTTATTGACAAACACTGAACAATACCCTTAAAACAATGCAAACCTGTCAGGCTCAAATTGGACGGCCGATTAATCCGTGTGCCCTTTAAGGAATTCAGATCAAACCGTTGCAATTGCACTTTAAATAGACCCCAACTGAATGATTTAAATGTGAAAAAAAAGGATTTAGAAGCAGGGTATGTTTTCTTTAACACRTCATCTTTACATTCAGAATAAAAGTGAAACACATTCAGAGGATAAACAATAAGGTAGGAGAAATGTAGTGTAGATTAAATATGATTCGTTTTAACCTGCTGTTTTTTTTTCAATATGTTTGGAGGAAAGGAAAAACTTGCCTGTGATGGATCACCCATGTTTCTAAGTGTCTCTGAGCTGATTTTAGACTGCAATGAAATGAACTGAAAGAATCCATTTAAGAATCCATTTAAAAACTTGTGATCTCTTTGGAAAATACTGAAGAAAATGTGTTTTTAATGGGCTGAAATATGGACAGGAACTGATGAAGACTTATTTCGTTTTCAGACGTGCTGACTTTTGCTTCCTAGCTGCTTATTTTACCCATTTAAAATATCTTCGCCTTTGCAGGAAGCGAGAGCTGTGCTGCTATGGTTAGTTTTGTTATTTTGGCACCAGGTTTTRAAGGTGCCGGTTGACTTATATCCGCTGGTCACAGGCGAAAGCAGCAGGCGAACATCAAAAAACCAGACGGTGGAGATGAGCAATACAAGGGAAAATAGAAACTGTGGCTGTGTAATTAGGCTGAATGGTGCGCTTTTCTTTGTGTTTTTTGATTGGAGGGAAAAAATGGGCGAGGGCGGCGACTGTCACAAACGGTGTGTTACTTCCAACACGACTGCATCATTCTTGATTTGCTTCCTTTCCGTCGTCATCAACCCCGCCACAATCTCCTCCACACACACACACGCACACACACACACTTTTGCACATTAAAAAGAACTGGGCGTATAATTTGATCCTGTGTGCTCTCCTCCTCTAATGAAGCTCTCTGGTGGTTTGACTGACACCCGGCTTGTTATTTAAGTATCAGTTTTGGGCCGAGAGGAAGAAAAGGAACAAGAAAAAGCGGGAGGAGGGGGGTAGAGGTAGTGATGTGCGGGAAAGGAAAAAAGGGGGAAACAAGGGAGCTGAAAGAGAGGTTGGTATTAGGAGTTTGGGGATGAATAAAAAAAGGAAGATGGAGAGAGCGAGGAAAAAAAGGAGTAGGACTGGAAGAAAGGAGGGTCCTGGGAGTCGTAGGGAGCGAATAAAAGAGGAGTGAAGAAACGAGCGGAGAGGAGGGGAAGACGGTTGATTTTGATGGCGGAAGCAGGGGTGATAAAGGCTGGGAGGGGACTGTGTGTCTAATTGCAGGTCTTTGTCCTGATAATGTTCTTTGAAGGCGCACAGCTGATAATTACCAAGTGTGGCTCCTCGGATGCCTTTCAGCGTCGGTGATTATGAGCCGCAAACCCTCCATTGGTTCTGACATGACCTCCTGAGTGGAGCAGGACGCCATGCTTGCTCCCCCAACAGACACAAACAAGTGTCGATTCGAGGACAAAATAGCCCGTTTCCCAAATGAGCCGCGAGCTCCTCTTTTGGGGCTGCAGGTGTGTGTCAGATTCACAAATGCACTTCCTGTTTGCAGAGCCCCGCCCACTCCGGCAGCAGAGACTGTAATTACAGCGACTCACACAACGCGGCGTCCCGGTACGCTTAGTCTGTTATTGCCAACAGTGGTCCCTCACCACACTGACTGCCTGATGCGCCGCTCCTGGCCCCGCCCCCACCCTGCCCTCTCAGTATTTTCATATCTGAATATTTAGGAGACTCTGGCTGGAGGTTTCTGCATTGTGATCAGCGTTAGGTGAGGAAATGCCCAGAGAGGAGCTGCGATAAGGGACAATTGTCCCGCTTGTTGGCTCGTTCTTGTATTTTGTGCCAGATTTCACACAACATCAAAACACTGAAAAAGGTCATAGTTTCTCGTGCTCATTTCAGATCATTTGAAACAAAGCAGCACGACAGCAGCTTAAAACCTGCTGAATTTACCTCAAAACTAAATTTCATCACCTTTAACCCCTCTTGGTTTACAGATAATGCTCCATTCTGTCAATTTTTCTTCTTTTTTTACTCTCAAGATCACAATTTATGACAAGGTACATAAACATGAGATCTGGAAATTTTTRATTTAACACTCACTGTCATCACATTGCATAAGTATAGAAACTTTTTAGTCGAACATAACGTTTACATAGAATGTCATGTTCAGAGTATTTATACATCTACAGCAAATCTTAACTCAATATTTGTAAAACAGATTTTTAGCCAATTCTGCCTATAGGCTAATGTTGATTAGCTGCAATGTTCATTTTGAATTGTATTGACTGCAAAAGTTAATCAGATTTAGATGCACATACATGAATTAATGTTTAAAGAAAATCCACTCGGTTGTTCCTGAGATATTATGCTAACAGACAAACAGGGTTGGCGCTAGGGCTGAGCAATAATTCTGTAACAACATATATTGCGATAGACACATGATGAATATCTGATAGAATGTTGATAATTTGACTGAATCCAACCCAAAAACGCACAGCATTCTGGGGGATGTAGGCAGAGGAAAGCCTTTGGCCCCTTACTCCGACACATTTTGTCACCTCGGATCGCCTTTGGGATTTTATTAAACTTACTGTTTGGACAAGTGTTTTCACCTCATCAAGACTTTTGTTTTTGTTTGTTTATTCATTTRTTTATGTGCAAGGATTTTGTTGCAGCAGGACAAGCATGGTTAAAATTCTCCCTGGGTTTTGCGTCGAAGGAATCTTTGCTGGTGCCATGCTCGCCGTTCATCCATTTTTCATCTAAACACATGAATTATGAAAAGGCATTAATGACAGGCAGGGGCCGAAGGAGCTGGGGG